TGTGGAAGCCGTGCGACCTCTACTAATGTAAGGTTGCACGACTTTTAACTTACGAACATGTTCGAAAACCCGCCGAGCATCGTACGATGTTTGGCGGGTGTGTAGCATGTTCGTAATATAAAAGTCGGACGGGCCAGTGTGCGCAAGCGCACACTGCCCGTCGGCATTGCGGTCATCGGAAGCCCGCCCCTCAGGGGGGCACGGCTTGCGATCATCGCAAGTAGGATCTGCCTGTCCAAGATAGGCAGATCATACGTTTTTTTAAGTACCTTACAACCATGGTTGTAAGGTGTGTGCCCAGCATTATAGCTGTAGTGTGCAAACTCCCGGTGACTGTGAAAAACACCGCATTCACCAGACTTCCATATTCAAAGAGGCATAACAATCCCGGATCGCAATCACAGTGAACGTTCTTCCTCCACTCTGTGTTCTTTCACTAGAAAGCTTCTGCTTCAGGTATGGTCGTTTAAAAAACGTATCCGTTCCCCAGAGGAGGATAATAAACACACAGTGTAATATGCCAAAAAAAGTTTAAAAAAAAACATTTAAAAACACTTACAAGATTCCCAGAAACAATCGCTTTTTCAAAAAATATTCCAAACTGTCATGAACAAGCCAGTGGAATAAGCACACAATTAAAATCCTTCCAACTTACCGTGTCCCAACCTCAGTGAGTGTCCACTTCTTTCGACGCGTTTCGTACAAAGACTTTTTCAAGAAAGTGCAGATGTACTGAGGTTACTTTCCTTATATCTCTCCCAAACAGGCAACTGTCATATGTGACAGGAAGTCTATGTCCATGTGACAGGAAATCTATACCCATAGCAATTGCAATAATAAAAGTGGCCACCAGAGGCCACTCATGTAACAGGAAGTCTACATCCATAGAAAATGTAATAGTCAAAGTGGCCACTAGATGTCACTCATGTGACAGGAAGTCCACATCCATAGCCATTGTAATAATAAAAGTGGCCACTGGAGGTCACTCATATGACAGGAAGTCTATATCCATAGCAATTATAATAATAAAAAGTGTCCACTAGAGGTCATTCAAAATCCTATGCACCTCATTCTTAAAGGAGAACTATGGGGTCAGTGTTTTTCCCCATAGTTCTCCTTAGGGTAACGGGAGGAACTCCAAAGAAAGTAACCAACTTCCTAGGAGGGTCTGTTACGTTAATGGCTACCTTATCTCTCAATGTAAGAGCTTTCCGGTAAAGGACAGTAGGTTTATCTGGTAGGAGATGGCCCAAAATCTTATCCCTCTTAAGAATATTCCAATGACTAGAAGCAATCCTCTCCACTTCCCTGTATTGAATGTTGTAATCTGTAATGAATGATGCTGGTCTTTCCCCCTTTTCCTTATGCCTCCGTGAGTAACATAAGTTAAAGCTCCTCTAATTTGTTTGCTAGACTTTTAGCATTCGTGTACATACATTTTAGTTTGGTGCTACAGGTTTGGGTTTTATTATTGCTCATTCCTTAAAATACTATTTTTATCAGACCTCGGTATGGTTGATACATCTCCAATTGGATTGACTGGAGTGAGCCCTCTTTCCCGCATTGTATTACAGTCCTCTATATTAATTGCTCCTGTAGTTACTTGCTCTCTGTTTATTATACTCATTTTTATTCCCTCCCCCCATTATCTAGTTTATAAGCTCCTCCATTCTTTTAACCATTTTCTCCCCCAAAAGTGCTTCACCTTCCCCATTTAGATGCAGCCCATCTCTGCTATAGAGCTGGTAACCGACTGAGAAGTCAGCCCAGTTCTCCATGAACCCAAAGCCCTCTTGTCGACACCAGTACCGCAGCCACTTGTTCAGTTCTCACAACTCTAATTTTGACTCTAATTTTGTTTTTAATTTTGTTTTTAATTTTGACTCTAGTGGGAATAACAGAAACTTGGCTAGACAGCTCACATGACTGGGCAACTACTGTACAAGGGTGCAACCTGTTCAGGAGGGACAGGGTTGGTAGAAGGGGGGAGGGGCATGCATGTATATAAAAAACAATCTAAGTGTGCATAGACGAGAAAACGTCAAGACAGAGAGTTGCAATGGTGTTTAGTCTTTTTGGCTAGAACTAGATAAGTCTGAAGCAATTTGTAAGCTAATTGTGGGTGTGTGGTAAACCCCTGAACATAGGGGAAGAGGAGGAGGCTCACCTACATTTCCAAATGGATATAGCTGGGAAGCAGGGAAATGCTGTTATAATGGGTGACTTTAATTATCCAGACTTTGGTCAAATTGAACCACTCATTTTATAAAGGCTGGCCGTTTCCTAAACCTGTTGCGAGATAATATCATGGATCAGATGGTTGATGTCCCAACCAGGAAGAATGCTATACTAGAGGTATTCATTTCCAATAATGCGGACCTAGTTGCAGACATTGCAATTAGAGATACATTGGGTAATAGTGATCACAGGGTGAATACTTTTAATGTTGAGCACAAAAAAGAGAAGTGTGTTGGTTTGACAAGAATGCTAAATTTCAAAAAAGGCAGATTTCGATAAACTGCATCATCTATTGTATGCCACTAAATGGGACAAATTATTTCTAACACTGAACACCGATGAGAAGTGGGATTGTTTTGGGAATACATTACATAATGCTATTACCAAGTGCATACCATTGGGTAACAAAAATAAAAGATTGAGAACTAAGCCTGCATGGTTAAATTAAACGGTGAGACAACACATCAAAAAAAGAAGCTGGCATTTAAAAAATATAAGATGGAGGGGACTGCATTGGCATTCCAGAGCTACAAGGAATGCAGTAAGAGATGTAAACATTAAATCTGGGTGTCTTAAATAGATTACGATAAGCATATCGCCACAGTCTGTAAGAAGAACCCCATAAAATTTTACCAATATATAAACAGTAAAAAGGTAAGAAAAGAGCAGGTAGGACCAATAAAAGATGAGTACGGGAGATTAATCACAAACTACTGGGAGAAGGCTGATGTGTTAAATTCATTTTTCTCTTCAGTATACATTCTTTAGTATACGCAGTAAAGACGGATTTAATGGAAATAAGAATGTGAGTAACTTAGTGCGTAAGATACTGCAGTGGTTGACAGTGGCCGGGGTTCAACAAAGACTTGATAAACTTAATGCAAATAAATCGTTATGACCAGATAACCTGCACCCCAGGGTACTTAAAGAACTCAGCCAGGTTATAGCGAGACCATTATTCCTCATTTTCAAATAATCCATAATGACTGGAAGGGTACCAAGTGATTGATGTAAGGCAACGGTAGTACCAATTTTCTGGGAACTACAGACCAGTCAGTCTAACATCAATAGTATGCAAACTGTTAGAGGGAATGATAAAAGACTATCAAGTGAATTTTGTTCATGACAATGGTATAAGTGATAATCAGCATGGATTTAGGAAGGAGCGTCCTTGTCAGACCAACCTACTAACATTCTATGAAGAGGTGAGTAGAGATCTGGATGGCGGAAGGCCGGTGGATGTGGTTTATCTGTATTTTGCCAAAGCTTTTGGCACGGTACCACAACACTTAATACACAAGCTGAAATCTATGGGCATAGATAAATGGTGTGTACATGGATAGAGAACTGGCTACAGGAACGTGTCCAGAGAGTATTGATAAATGGATCTTTTTCAGTTCGAGAATGGCGTACCCCAGGGTTCTGTCTAAGTTTGAGAATGGCGTGCCCCAGGGTTCTGTTCTAGGCCCCATACTGTTTAACCTGTTTATTAATGATATTGGGCAAGGTGTTCATAGCCATGTTTCTGTGTTTGCAGGTGATACTAAAATCAGGAGGGTAATAGACTCAGGCTTAGACATTATAAAATTACAGGAAGACCTGAATAAACTAGGGGAGTGGGCAACTATATGGCAGATGAGGTTTAATGTTGAAACATGTAAAGTAATGCATTTTGGGGTTAAAAATTGGCAAGCGGAATATACATTAATGGGTACTCCACTAGGGAAGTCAGAAATGGAAAAAGATTTGGGGGTCATAGTAGACCAGTCATAGTAGACCACAGATTGAATAATAGCTTGCAATGCCAGGCTGCGGCAAACAAAGCAAGCATAGTGCTGTCTTGTATTAAAAAGGGAATGTTCTGTAGAGATAAAGCAATAATGTTGCCTCTTTATATATCACTGGCTCAGCCGCATCTAGAGTATGCAGTTCAGAAATAGGGCAACTAAACTAATGAAAGGGCTTGAGAACCAAAGAAATGAGACAAGGTTGCTAAATTTAAACTTCACGCTAGAAGTGAAGCGAATAAGAGGGGCATGATTTTGATGTACGAAATGTTAAGTGGTGATGGTAACATCAGCAATAAACTTTTTACAGTAAACTCCTTAACAAAGACTAGAGGCCACAACCTAAAATTGGTGGAGAAAATATTTAACCACAAAGGGTGTAGGGACTTTTTCTCAGTTAGAGCTGTTAAATTTTGGAACTTACTGCCACAAGCAGTGGTATCAGCAGAGAGTATTGGATCATTCAAAAAGCATTTAGATACCTTCATACAGGGGTACAGGTACTCTTAAAAACTAGATCACACAGGGACTGGTGCGCACACAGACACACAAAGGTTGAACTTGATGGACCTGTGGCTTTATTCAACCTCAAATACTATGTTACTATGTTAAACTCACAGCAGCCCCGATGAGTGTCACCTGACAGTAAGACTCAGGACTTCAGTGACACTGTGGAGGAGGAACCGCTGCCTGGACACTGTCTGCAAATGCCCCCCTCCCAGCATCGGTCCCCCCCCTTTAATGTAAAAAGTAAAGATTCAGTGTCTCTGTCATGCCATATTGATCAGCCATCGGATCATATTGTCTGCAAACAGCCCCCCTGTCC